TATGTCTCAATCTGTGGAGACATTTAAATGTCGCCTTGACAGATATATGCTGCAGCAACAAGCGGACTATGTGACTTTTTAACCATGTGACTAGTGACATATGTGAATCAATGTATGCATTCACTTAATGCTGTAATTTCTTTACATTTTTGCTTGTTTATCGATTTTTTATGTACAAATAGGGAGTTCAAAGGCGTAAGCCTATTTCCCTCAAATACACTGACTGACTGACTGACCCGTAAATAGTACTCGGTTAGCGCTTCTCGAAGAATAAAAGAATAAGAAAACGGAGACACGAAAGATCACAGCGAAAAGTTGCCAAAATCCGATGGAAACGATGCTAGACTCAACCAACAAACAATCGCTATTACAAAGTGAAGCTAATAAAGATATGCCGATAAAGCAATGCGGCAGATAACGCTTGAGGAACTCAGTCCCCAGACAGTATGCGTACGTTCTGAGCTAGATGTAGGGGCGATGGTAGCCAGCGCCAAGACATTGCAGCGGACCCAAGATGGAATTAACTGTTCATAGGAATACCATAGTCGGGAATGCCTTAACTCCCGCAAGGTCAACTACTCCAGAGATTAACCTGGATGGGGGAATTGTATAAATCTCACAATACAAAGTTATCCATGCGCCGACAATACCGGTGTCACCCTATTGCCAATCAACAGGACGGAGTTTTACTATCAGCCAACAATAACCAAGCAGCGGAAAGCAGAGGAGTGCCCAGTCAGGGTCAATGCATCTTAATTCAAGGTTTCTCAGAGTCCCAAGCCTGAAAACCCGTGTCACTTAACACAGAATATCCTACTGAGTGTTGTTCAGCATGGATTCCTCAAAGCTCGGTCTTGTGACACCTGTCAACTCTCTTTCTTCGACTATGTTCTCCAATCTAGGGACAATGGCTTTGCACTTTACATAGTATATTTCGATTTCACGAAGGCTTTTGATCGTGTTGACCGCACAGAGCGCACAGGTTAACGCTGTTCCCAACGCCAGGGTAGGTGGGTCAGATGGTCAAGCAATCATCACACCAACATCCAACGCACGTGATGCAATTGCAGCAATTAACGTCATGAGTATCGGCCATCAAACAGTCATCACACCAAGTACAACGATCCCTGGTGAAGGGGGGAGCCGCGGTAGCATAATGACTGCATCCTATAAATACAGCAGCCCCTTGGGCATGAACCACCCGTATCTGATTTGTCCCTGATGATGGGTTCGAGAAGAAATCCGAAACGTCAGGCGAATAACGCTCTTGTCCCAGCGCTATGGTCTCCTTCTTTACGACTGCTTCCTAAGACTCGCTTCTTCCCTTCTATTTTTCATAATACCCCAAACAAACTTGAAATGTCCCTAGGGCTGTTCGAAGCTCTGGCGTATGCCTCTCAAGGCATGAAAGTGCAACTTACTTCAAATCAGCCACTACACTTTGATCATTCCTTTGCCTTTGCCATAGCAATAAACCTGCGTAGGAACTCCCTCAACACTTCGAGGAGCATGACCTCACCTGTATATTCCTAGGCATTCATTTTCGCGGCGAGTTGTCGGTGTCTGGAACGGACTTTCCGGGGAAGTGATGATGGCGGACTCAGCATAGACATTTAAACGAAGGCTCGACGTACACTTACTAGGAAAATACAGCTTAACTGAGCAGGATGACTCTGTGACAACACAAATATGACATCAATACAACTTCCGCTAATGCGGACAAACATTATTTTGTGAGGGTACTCGGGTTCCAATCGCGCACTTTTAAGGGGAAGGTTTTTTTGAATGCGTATTTTACTGGCTGCACTTTAGCAGCGTGTTTATTCGAAGTCGAATATTGTATACACCGTTCACAACAAATCCTCGCAAAACATTTGGTAACTTCAGACTTGTGGACCTTGCACCATTACCTCCTTTTTCAAACAATCAAATA